AAAAATTAATCTCATAGTTCCATCCACTATGCCAATCTATTAACTGCTAAAAGTTTCTTGCATTCATCAGCAGGTCCTTTTAGGAAGTTCTCTTGATTGCATTAAAAGCTTTTGGTAAAGTCAGGATGACTGCCACCACAGAAATAAACCCACAGGAACTGGAGCCAAGTCACTCGTTGATTTATGTAGGCAGTTGGAGAGACGTGCATTTGAAAGGGTATGGTACAGAAATAAAAGAGAACGCTCAGACATAAAAAAAGATTAAAAATAGAAACGTTTATGTTTTATTGAGCAATGTGAGAATGCCACAGTAATTCACCAATAATGCCACTTGTTCATTTTCGATGAGCAAGGAAGCAACGAAAAAGTATGTTTGCAGCCCAAGATAACTACTTACCGCTTCTGTCAAAGGGGAGCCTTCCACTCCTCTGGATCTCCGCTGCTTTCCTTTCCAAGGCCCCTGCTCCTCCAGTTACCCCTGGTGACTTCCTGTTTTGGTTTCACTTTCCGGGCAGGCTGTACTCTCTGGGATAACAGAGAGGCGTCCCAGCAGCAGCTGGTTCAAGGATGCTGCATCTTCAGTCAGACACCAGATGGAGTGTCTATTTTATGCTAGCCTGGCAATTCTGATTCCTGAGCTTTTCTTTCAAGGAGCTGTATGGGCCAGATGACACAGGCCAGGTGCATTGACACGGTTTCTACTGAACCAAGTTCAGCAGAAAAACCACAGCAATAGAAGCTGGAGATTCTCTAGCCTACAAAGCTGAAGTTGACTCTCATATTCATGTCAAATTTTTCCTCTTTAGCACATTATTCTTTTACTATAACACAGATCCCACTCTAGACTGTCCTTCAAATTAGAGAGAACTAAATTGTGTATGGTCCTGTTTCTAGTTATGGTAAGCTTTTTTCTCACCGTAAGTTATAAGGGTCATGGTGGTGTCTAGTAATAATTAACACGAACATCGACTCTGAGGCTAGAATGCCTGGGTCTGAACCACTTCCTAGCTATGTGACTGTGAGCAAGTTATGTGCCCTCTCTGTGCCTCAGTTTTCCTTATCTGCAAAATGGTGATATATGCTGAATAATTTTTACTGTTACTACTATTGCTTCATTCCTACAAGATGGAGGCCCTATTACAAGGGCCATGCCCAAGACAGCTTTGGCCCAGGTCTTTAACTCTCCCTGGTGAGATACCCACCTGTTCTTGATTACTGTCTTGTTAAAAGAATGTCAATGTGTCTACTTCTTTATTTTTGCATTGTTTTGTCTCCACGAAGTCTTTTGAATTTCTTCTCTTCCAGGTCAACCTGATCTGAATGGTTTCTCCTAAAATATGAACTTAATTCTGTTTCTACTTGCTAATCTTGAAGGCATTCCCTCCAATTGCACCATAGATTCTTTCTGATCAAAAGCTCTCATTCCACCTATTTCATGCACCATTCTATTTTTTTTTTTTTAAGCTAAACAACCTGCTGTGTAACTATTACTCACACATTGCTGTTGGGAATCTAAGATGGTACAGCCACTCTAGAAAACAGCTTGGCATTTCCCTGAAAAGTGAATCACGCCCCCACTCCTTTTCCTATTGGGGTGGCAGCCAGGCAGGGAGGCAGGACAAGATCATAGAACCTCCTTTGACCGTGCCAAGCCATTGTGCACATACTACAAACTGTCCTCTGTCAGAATGAATGGCGGTCACATTCTCCTCCTTCGGATCTTAACTCAAAGGTCCCACTTCCATGGACTTTTTCAAATTAGGCACTCACATCTAAACAACCCCAGCCAACTACTCTATCACATCACCATGTTTTTTTTTTTCCTTCCTAGCATTTCTGTAAGATAATTGGAGAGGCTGATATTTATTTGTTGTTTGTCTCTTCCACTAGCATAAGTTACATAAAATCAGAGATTATACCAGGCAAGGTGGCTCACACCTGTAATCCCAGCACTTTGGGAGGCCGACACGGGCAGATCATGAGGTTAGGAGATTGAGACCATCCTGGCCAATACGGTAAAACCCCGTCTCTACTAAAAATACAAAAACCAGCCGGGTGTGGTGTTGGGTGCCTGTAGTCCCAGCTACTCAGGAGGCTGAGGCAGGAGAATCGCTTGAACCTGGGAGGCAGACGTTGCAGTGAGCCAAGATTGCACCACTGCACTCCAGCAGGGTGATAGAGGGAGACT